CAATCACTGTTGACACGCTCATTTAAGCCATGCCTCCAACCTGTTATTAGCTACTTAATTTGAGTTGTCCACCAAGGCTGCTTCCAGACCTCAGCGTCCTTAGTAACTAGGATACATTCTCGTTCCTGAAGCACTTGTTTTTGTTTTTCTTACCAGCACATACTGTTACTGGCTTATGTGGAATTAATATTCAACCTCAACTCCAAAATTTCAAATGAATTTGAGGTGTCTACCATGCTGGCTTCCAGATCTCAGCCTCCTTGAGTAGGTAGGGTCTGATAACAGTCTTGAGCTAGAGCCCTTGTTTTGATTTGCTTTTCTTACCTGAACATTTAATACTAACAGTTAATTTGATATTAAAACAAGGTTATTGTTACTGGTTTATATAGAATTAATATTCAACCTCAATTCCAATATTTCACGTTTCAAATTAAGTCTTGTATTTTATTTCTAATAGTTGTAACTATTCTAACTGGTATATTTTCTTCACTAAGCAAACAGTTTAGGCTAGCACAACTACATGGAAGGATTGTTTTATAATTAATTTAATTTATTGTTATAGAGATACAGAGAGATTACAATTACATGAGTCAGGTAATGAGTATATTCCCTTTCACAGAGGGTCTTCCTTTCCTTACTTTCACAATTCCTCCCTCCCTTCTCTAATCATGAGTTGTATAGTTTATTTTCATTAGTGTCTAATGAATTCCACTGCTGTAGTTTTTCCCTGTTTCCCTGGAATTCTATGACTTTCCCCCACCCTCCAGAAAATATACCTGTGAATAGACCATACATAGTTAAAAACATTTGTTTTTAGTTCAAAGGCGAAGTAACAAAGTGACTGCTTTTAATAGCCTATAAAACATAGTGATAATGTACATTTCTCCCATATCCATGCTAATTTCCTTGTGTTTATTTCACTCATAGATTTTTAGAAATATATTACTTAACTGTAATGTGTTTATAACCTAGCTTTATATCTCATTTTTTCCTAGGAAGTTTGTCTTGAGAATTACTCTCATTGTTTTGGTCTTCGTAAAATTAATACTTCAGTACTTTATAAACAGCATTTAGTTTGAAATAATGCCAGTGATATGTATGCTACTGCTGATGTTTTGTCCTGATGTTTATAAATTAGAGGAGTGTTACTTTTCCAATAGTCATGGAAGATTAAAAAATTACAATTCTGTTGCCTTTTTTGCACAGTTCCTTGATCTCAGTGACTGGGCATTCATTCTCTCTGAGCTTCTTTCCCAGAAGTCTAGCACTCACTGCTTGAGCCACAGCACCACATTCAGCTTTTTTTGTTCATGTGGTACTGAGGAATCAAAACCATTACTTCATGCATGCTAAGCAAGCACTCTTTATAAGCCATGTTCCCAGCCCTAAATTTATTGCCTTTTTATTTTCTTTTGGTAGAATTAATTTGTTGGTCTCCGGCCTTCATTTTTACCAAGCAAGTAAAGTATTAATTGATACATATGCCTAGTGCAAATACTTTGTGTATAATACACTTGTGCATTTGTATATTGCATCTTAAAAAATTAGATTACCTAAAACCTAACATATGTTCTACAGATTTCCTTTTAATGACCTTGTCCTATGTGTATATGCATGTTAGAAGCAGGATAATTTTTTGTAACAGTCTTAAAATGCAGATGTGTTATTAATGAATTATCTTTCCATTTAAATATCTCCAATCTACATTTTCTGAAGAGTTCCTCTACCCAATGGATTATCTATTGAAGATTATTTTCTTTCAACACTTTACACATATATTTCCTTTTTGTGTGCTAGTCAGCATTCACCACTGGTATTGTCACGCACGGCTGGATTGGTAGGATGATTGTTGGCCATTCTTCCTTTGTAATGGGGTTCAAAATGGGAATCAAAAGACTTTCCTTTTAGCCTCTGCAAAACAAATTAGTACTATATTTCATTTCAACTTTTAAAATTTCCTTCTGTAGGTTTTAGGTAGCATCACTTTTTATCCTTTTTATTCTCTGTTGTGCTTGTGGTCATATTTCACAATTTTTTGTCATTTTTTAATGTTCCATAAGCCTTTTGCCCTTTGCCTCCATCCTTCAATAAAGGACTGATAAAATGCAATTGTAGTCAAGAAACATTTTATTCCTCTGCCACCTAAATTTCTTATTGTAGGAGGTATGCAGTGTTCACAAAAGTTCATGTAGCAGTTCTTACAGAGGAAGGAAGTATCAGGGTATCTATGACCACATTTCAATCATTAGAATTTCTTCAGGCTGGGGAAGCATCAGCTGCTGCATGGGGAGGAGGCAGCGGCCACTGCTCCACGGGCCCCTGGCCCCTCTGTGCCTGTGTCTGGGAAAGCCAGTGTAAGATGAAGATAGTCTTTCCCCAGCCACCTGGATAATCAAGAGTTTGGGACAGATCCTTTGATAGTGAGGAGCCAGGAGAAAAGCACAGAGTATGGTGTTGAAATGGATTAATAAGGAATAATGTTCTCTTATATTCTGTTATGTAATGACAGCCCATATCATGGAGGTGTATTTTTTTGACAATTCATTTTCCTACAGACTACCCAACAAACCACCTGAGGTTGCGTTTACAACAAGAATTTAGCATCCAAATATTAACAATATTGACAGTATTTGTCTTGATATTCTAAGGTCACAGTGGTCTCCTGCTTTAACTATTTCTAAAGTTTGTTTATCCATTTGTTCACTGCTATGTGATCTGATCCTAGATGACCTCCTAGTGCCAGAGATTGCACGGACAATAAAACAGACAGAGACAAGTACAACAGAGTAGCTCAGGAATAGAATCAAAAGTATGTCATGTGATGCTACCTAAAAGTCAGAATAACCTGCATTATAGCTGGAAGGAACTTGAAACTACTGTTCCTTTTTTGATTTCTTGTCTGGCTGCTCCCCTATCAGACGTCATCTTTTCTTTTCAATTTTATTTTTCACTTAGCTCCCTCCCTCCATTCATTTAGATTCTCATCTGAGTAGACTTAAGTTTTTCCAGCTTTGGACAATAACTGCTTTTAGAAACTGTATTTACAAGAAAGCAGTTGCCCAACACTCAAAGTTTTTTTTTAAAGTTTAGCGTTTGTATTATACAGCCAGTATGTTCACTTTTTTTTTTTGTCGGTCATGGGGCTTGAACTCTGGGCCTGAGCACTGTCCCTCAGCTCTCCAGCTTAAGGCTAGCGCTCTACCACTCAAGCTACAGCTCTACTTCCTATATTCACTCTTTCTTTTTCTTTTCTTTTTGTGCTTTTTTTATTGTGAAAATACTGTACAGAGGGGTTACAATTACATGGGCAAGATAATGAATACATTTCTTATCAAGCATTGTAGCCTCCTCCTTTGTTTCCCCTTCCCATCCCTTCCCATCCTCCCCCCAACCCCCACCCAACCTATATTCACTCTTAACCTGATTATGAAACCAAACCATTCCTCACTACTCTAACATGATGAAGAAGCCACCTGAGGGGGTGGGAGCTGGATTCTCAGTTGTCACATCAAAGGAAACAACATTCTAGCAGCATCCATTCTTGTTGAAGCCTTCCACTGTTAGAGATTTGAGGTTACATGTACTTTATGCTCCTAACTGATGTGGCTGGAGAATTGATATTGAATTTATAGTATCAGCAGAACAGAAAATGTGTTGTATTTTATACTGGTCAATAAAGAAGTGAGCTGTTCTTCTCCAGAGAGTGGAAATTAGAAGTCAAATACCCTTTGTATTTCAAAATAGGGTGTCAAACATTTTGTAATTTTCATTTAAATTCTTAGGAGGCTTGGAGCTATTAGTTAAACTGTCTGCCAATACACTGCTTAATATAGCACTGAATAAATGATGCAAGTTGTTACTAGATAAGTGATGGATAGCTCTGCTAGTAATTGATTTATTTTTCTTCAATAAAGTTTCATAAACCAGTTAACTGCCTGAATTAATCAGTATGGAGAATATATTTTGTAAATGGAAAGCTGTTTTTATTATTTTCCATGTACATTCCCTAACTAAACCTCTTTATCATGTGCATTTGAAGCTGGGGGGAAGGGGAAAAGGGAGTAATAGTGGGTTACAGTTTACAAAATAAAGTACTGTTGTGGGAGTCATAATGAGGCTGGGTTGAATATAACCATGAGATATTGGGCATCTGTGGGTTTGTTCAACCATTTACAGTAATGAGCATTAAATGCAGCAGATATCATTTCAGGTGACTTAACATGAATAAATAAAAGTCAATGCTACTTTAAACAATTTTAATAACAAAAACAGTTAACAAAAATATTTTTATGTGCTAAGTCAAATCTTAAAATGTCCAAATCAGTCATTAGCTACTTTCTTGAGTACTGTTAACTCTCTTTTACATTCACATGAACACTACTTTTCGTAGGTTGATGAATATGGTATATATTCGATATAATATCCTGAATGTGTTGTGCTTGCTTATGTGAGAGCACTTTTTAAGTGAGGCAGAATATGAAAATGCAAGAAAAGTTTCTTGTTTACTTCATTGTCACCCTGATACATAAGAAATTTTATCAAAGTAAGCTATTATTATCTCCTTAGAAATGTGTTCTGATGTATTAGGGAAACTATTTTTTTTTATTTTTGTTGTCTGTGGGGTTTGAACTCTGGGCATGGGTGCTGTCCCTGAGCTCTTCAGCTCAAGACTAGCATGCTACCACTTAAGCCACAGAGCTACTTCTGGCTTTTTCTGCTTATGTGGTGCTGAGGAATCAAACCCAGAGTCTCATACATGCAAGGCAAGCACTCTAATACTGAGCCACCTTCCCAGCAGGAAACCTTGTATTTTAATTACCAAGTTAATACAGTGGCAAACATTTCTACTTTGATCATTCTTTCTCCCACTGTATAGATAACACAGCAAGCTCCAAACATTTTTATATAAGATGAAATGCATACCTGTAGACGAATGAAATTCCAGCCTTGGTGTTCTCATGACTCATGGCTAATTACTTGACACAAATGTGTCCTTACAGAAGCTAGTATCATTTGATGATGTGGCTGTGGACTTCAGCTGGGAGGAGTGGCAGTACCTGGACATTGCTCAGAGGACCCTGTATAGAGATGTAATGCTGGAGATCTACCGTAACATTGTGTCCTTGGGTGAGCAAAAGTCACATTAACTTGTCAGGTCACGTGCTTTGTTTTTAGTAGATATATGAATATTTATGTTATTTAGATGTAGCATTCCAGAAGACTGTCTTCCCAACCTTGAGCATATTATTGTAAATGGTTATACAATCTAGAATATAATGTATATTACTGTTGGAAAGATGATCTGGAAACCACAGATTTAAAATGGGTATTTATAATTCAAAACTGGCAATTAGGTACAATGGAGCTGGCCTGTTATCCTAGCTACTCAGGAAGCTGAACTGAGGATTTTGATTTGAAGACAGAAATGGCAGAAAAGACCCCATGACACTCATTTTCAATTAACCACTCAAAAAGTGAAAGAGGGGCTGGTACTCTTAACTGGTAGAATGCTAGCCTTGAGCAAAATAGCTGATTTCAAACCACATAAAAAGAAAAATAAATCCAAAGCTGGGGGAAAGTCAACCATGGAGTCATTGAGAAATAACAAGATTTAGGAGCAACCTTGTGAATAGGCGGTCAAATCTTACAGCAAAGATGACCCAGCACAATCAATAATTCTTCACTATTTCTTAACAGGGCACTGTGTTCCTAAACCTAACTTGATCGTCAAACTGGAGCAAGCAGTAGAACCAAGGATAAGAGAAGCCTCAAGCAAAAATTTCACAAGTGAGTTAAAGCATCTTGTGTAGTGATGTTTTTGCCAGAGCCCTGTTGGTAGATTCGTTTTGCACTGTTCTGAGCAATAATGTTCCCAGTTCTAAGTCCTGTGTGGCAAAGAAATAGATGATCCTTTGTGTTAAAGACTAGTAAATCAAGAATTCATGTGGACACTAACTGAATTTGTTGTGGCTATAGAGATAAAGTTTGCAATTCTCTTTGTCTTTGTGGAAATCATTCTGAAACAGAAAAACTAAACAAGAAATGTAGAAAATAAGATTTTATTTTCTTTGAAACTAGGACTATGTAGGTATGAAGAAATAAGCAGTACCCCAGGCCTGTTCTCCTGATGAGTAAAATAGATCATCAGTGCTGGAAGACATACACTGGGATTCAGAACTGCAGCTTTTAGTCTAGAGAGGATGATTATTTGGCTGATGAGCTGAAGAATCTTTGTTCTTCCGTGGTTCTGATAGGCAGGAATATCAGAAAAGGAATTTTAAAAAGACTTTGATCCACAGTGAAGACAAAGAAAAATTAAAATTTCCATAGATACCTCATAATTCTTAGTAAGAAGTTAGAACTTAAGAGATGTAGGTGTAAAACCTTACTTCTAGGAACAATTCCTACTTACTTGATAGGCAAAGTGATATATAAACAATATTATGGTTTCTGAGAATGGGAAATATTTTTGTTCCTCACCTAATGGTTGAGAAACAATAAAACAAAATATATAAATTATTTCAAGGAAATAAAAAACAACTATTCCCTTATGCCCAACAAAATAAAAATTGAGAAAACAACCCCAAGAATACTAAAGGGTATAGTTCGTACACAGCTTACTACTCTGACAGTACATAGGTAAGTAATTTGAGGAAATATTTCCTCTATTATAAAAAGAAGAAAATTGAAACACAAACATTCTTTTCCATTGTAAAACATCAGTATTACTTTCTTAATTAAGACATTATGGAGAAAAGCATATATTTATCACCAATCAATTCCTACTCTGATATTTTAAAATATGTAATAATTAGAATGAGAAAAAAATGTCTTTACCTTTACAGTAAGGAATCTTTGGATCTCATTTGTGTTTTGTCTTTTTTTCTTTGACTTATTTTAGATATCCAAGAAATGGAGGACGTGAATAAGATGTGCCAGCAAAATCCAGATGAAAGTCCATGTGAAGTCTTAGTCACAAATAGTAATACAGTGGAGGAAGGAGTGAGTTTAGTAACTTTTCATAAGGCAGAATGAATATAACCATAATGAATATAGAGAATGCTATTATAACTCAGCTCTCTTTTTCAGAAAATACTTCAGGGAGGAAGAAAAACTCCTGAATGTAGTCTATGTGGAAAACTGTTCAACTTAAGACCTACAGCCACTACACATGAGAAAAGATACACAAGAGAGAAACATTGCACATGTGGTGCATGTGACAAATCTTTCAGTCAGGAAATAGACCTCATGAAGCCTCAGAGCAAATATCCAGAGAATTCCAATGAGTATATCCACTGTGCAGAATTTACCTCTCAGATGTCAGACCTGAATTTACAGCCTCAAACACCAACAGAAGAAAAACTCTATGAATATGAGGAATATAGGCAATTTTCCACCCATAGAAATCACCCAAAAGAGAAATGTAATGAATGTAACAAATGTGAAAAGTCATTCAAAAAGAAGTCACAACTCCTTTTGCATCAGAGAACTCACACAGGAGAGAAACCTTATGAGTGTAAGGAATGTGGAAAGTCTTTCAGACAGAAAAATGGCCTTGTTTTACATCAGAGAAGACACACAGAGGAGAAACTTTTTGAATGTGATAAATGTGGAAAGACTTTCGTGCAGAAGTCACCTTTCATTTTGCATCAGAGAATACACACAGGAGAGAAATGTAATGAATGTAGCGAATGTGGGAAGTCATTCAGACAGAAGTCAAAACTTCTTTTGCATCAGAGAACACACACAGGAGAGAAACCTTATGAGTGTATCAAATGTGGAAGGTCGTTCAGACAGAAGATACACCTTACTTTGCATCAGAGAACTCACACAGGAGAGAAACCTTATGAGTGTAAGGAATGTGGACAGTGTTTCACCTGGAAGTCACAACTTGCTGTTCATCACACTGTACACACAGGAGAGAAACCTTATAAATGTAACAAATGTGGAAAATCTTTCGGACAGAAAGAAAACTTTGCTTTACATCAGAGAATACACACTGGAGAGAAACCTTGTGAATGTGATAAATGTGGAAAGGCTTTTGTACGGAAGTCACCCCTCATTTTGCATCAGAGAATACACACAGGAGAGAAACCTTATGAATGTAACAAATGTGGGAAGTTGTTCAGACAGAAGATACACCTCACATCACATCAGAATATACACCAAAGAGCTACATGAATGCAACAGGTCTGGAAAGTCTCATGCAGCAGTCACATGTCACTTTACATCATAGTTTACACAGGAGAGAAACCTTATGAATGCAACATGTAGAAAGTCACCTACAAGGCAGACCTTACTAAACATCAGAGAAGTCATACGGGAGAGAAACCCTGTGAATGTAAGAATTGTGAAAAGCCCTTTACCCAGAAGTCAAACTTTAATACTCATGTGAGGACACACTCATGAGAAACCCTATGAAAGTAAAAAACTGGACAGACTTTCAGACAGAAGTCATAACTCACTTTGTATCAGAGAACACACACAGTAGAGAAACCTTATGAAAGCAACATATGTAAAGACCTTCAAACAGAGTTCACACCTCAGCAGGCATAATAATTTACATAGGTTAGAAACCTTAGGAATGTAGTATATGTGCAAATCCTTCACCTAGCATTCACACTTTAGCAACTCATGTGAAACCTTTGGAATGTAATATATGTGGAAAATTTCTCACCTGAAACAAAACTCAGTTTGCATCAAAGAACTCACACAGGAGAGAAGCCTTAAGAATGTAGCCCAGTGTGCAGTCTTTCACCCAGAAGACAGTGCTCAGGCTTTATCATTGGACACCCACAAGAGAGAACTGTTACAAAAGAAACAAATGTGGAAAGTTGCAAAACAAGAGTTTCACAAAACTAAGTTTGTATCAGAAAACACAGCAGAGATCATATGAATGTAGCAGATGTGGAAAATCCTTCATCAAGAAAGCAGGCTGTCATTTTGAAGAGAGAAACGAGCACAAATGTAGAAAATCACCTGGATGGCATTCCTATTCCTTAGAGAACTGACTCACAGTAGAAAATAGAACTTAACAAATGTGTAATTACTAAATCAGAAGTCAGTCTTCACTGCATCAGAGAACACATACAGCAGAGAAACAATTGAGTATAACAAATATAGAAAAACATTTAGCCAGAAGTCATATGTCTACATGTAGCAAGGATCTTTGGTATGCAGAAAAGCTTGTTTTATGCAATCCCATTTTTCTGGTTTTCCTTTGATTTGTTTCAATTCTGGATCTTTAGGAAGTTTTGACCTGTGCCACAGAGACTTAGTGTTTTCCCTATCCCTTCCTGTAATATATTCAGGGTATCTGGTCATCCACTTGATCTAATTGTTACTAATCTGTTGCAGGGTTATATAGAAGGATTTAATTGTTTTCTATATGTATAGCTAATTGTGCCAGCATCATTGGTTTCTTGTATTTTGAGATTTTTGTCTCCCTTATCAAATGTTTGGAGGCTACCCACAGGTCTGTGGGTTCTATTACTAGTAGTAGTAGTAGTAGTAGTAGTAGCTTTGTTAGAGCGTTTGAGGCTTGGTATTGATACTCTTCTAGCACTGTTTTTCCCGCTATGGACTGCTTTTGCTATTCAACATCTCCAGTAATTCCATATGCATTTGGGATCATATGTAATTAAAAAATATTGTTGAGATTTTGAAGGGTATTGTTGAATTTGTAAATAGCTTTGTGTAGTATTGCCATCTTCATGATGATGATCCTCCCAATCCAGAGGCATAAGTTTTTAAATTCCCTTCAGGTTTTAAAAGTTTTCATCATAGAGGTCCTTCACATCTAATTAAGTTAATTCTTAGCTTTTGTTTTTATGAGGCAATTACAAATGGGGTTGCTTTACTGATTTCAGCCTCACTCTAATCATTGTTGGCACACAGGAAAGTTACTGAATGTTTTGTGTTAATATTATAGCCTGCTGCTTTGCCAGTTTCCAATCAGCTCAAGTAAGTTGGGAGAGGAATCTTGAGTTTCTTTCAATGCAAGATCAATGTCATCTGTTCCTGAGAAGAATGTATATTCTTATGCTGCTGGGTGAGATATTCTGTAGATGTCTGTGAAGTCTAGTTGGTCAATGCAGTTCTTTAATACTAAGTTTTTTCTGATTAATTTTTGCTGGGTTGATCTATCTATAGGTGACTTTGGTCTGTTAAAGTCACCAAAAATCAATGTGTTTGGATCTGTGCATATTACGGGGTAAGTAGTATCTGTTTGATGAAGTGGGTATTCATTTGGGGTATAGCTATTTAGGATTGTTATATCCTCCCATAGGAAAGGTCCATTTATTAGTATGTCATGGCCTTCTTAGTCTCTTCTTACTAATTATAATTTGAAGTATATTCTATCTGATATTAGTATTGCTATTCTGGCCTGCTTAGGGGGACTATTTCCTTGATAGAATTTATTCTACCCATTCACATTCTGGATACTTGTTTCTGTGGGCAAGGTGTGCCTCTTGAAGACAGATAGATGGGTCTTGTTTATTTATTCAACTTATCAATCTATTTCATTTAATTGGGAGTTAAGTCCTTGAATCTTGACAGGAGTGAAAAGTTTTGGCAATTCCTGCCATGTTACCCACCTTTCTATGCCCTGTGCCTTCTCATTCTTATTATGTTTATTTGGTTCTCTGGTAAATAGCTGTTTCTCTGACTATATCAAGACTCGGCTGGGTGCTCTTCTTTTCATTTTCATTTTATTGTATTGTAAAAGTGCAGCACAGAGGAGTTATAGTTACATATGTAAAGTAATGAGCACATTTATTGTTGAACATCGTTACCCACTCCTTTCTTTATCTCCTACTATCCCTTCCCACCCCCACCTTGAAGTTGTCAAGTTCATTTCCAACATACTGTCTGTGAGTATCTTCGTTGCAATGGGACATCCTGTGTCTTTGTTTCTTCTACATTTTGTTATTCCCCTTCCTCTCCCCAAATTAGATAAATGTATATACAAGATGCAGGATACCAAAACGTAATACAGTGACAACAGGGGATATACTATAGGGGGAAGAACATGCAAAAAAATCACAGTATAACAAAGAAAAACTTTGTTAAAAAAAGAAAAGCTGGGGGCTGGGGGTTTAGCCCAGCGGAAAGGCGCCCGCCTGGCACGCGCAAGGCCGTGGGTTCGGTTCTCAGCCCTGGTTTAAAAAAAAAAAAAAGAAAAGCTGTATCCATGTCTTGGGGCTCATTTCACTTAGCATCTTCTTATCTGTTCACATGTATATAGCTTTTGAGTGTTTCTGCTCTGATGGAGGCATAGAATTCCATTGTGTATGTATGTATGTCTATATATATGTAATATATATATATATATATATATATACACATACACACCATATTTTCTTCATCCATTCATCTACTGAGGGGCGTCTGGGTTTGTTCTATATCTTAGCTATGGTGGATAATGCCGCAATAAACATAGTTGTGCTGGTAGCTTTAGTATAGCCTTGTTTGTGATTCTTTGAGAAAATGCCCAAAAGTGGGATTGCTGGGTTATAGTGGAGCTCTATGTGTAGTCTTCAGAACTCTATTTGTAGTCTTCGGGTGATCTTTTTGAATCCTTTTCAGGCTCAGGGCAGTGGAGTGTTTGTGGACAGGTCTGGAGGGATTAAGGTGTGCAAGGGAAGTCTTTGGTGCATCCTTTTTCACATTTCAAAAAGAAGCTGGGCTGTGTGGGTCACCCCTTTAATCCTATCACTTTTGGTTAAATCCACTGTTTGAATTAATCTGGAGTGCAACTTCCAACCAAGGTATAATTGCTGTGGCTCAGAAATCCTATCAGAAGCTACTCTCTGATTGGTTCATATGCGATGCTCTGTGGGTTTGGGTTATAAAGATGCCAGTGAGCCATCCTGCTCTCCATGAGCCAGTGCTCCCAGCTCATTCATTTCCTATGGAACCTACATCTCCATGTCCTCCCTGCAGAACCTCTTGAGCCACACTGGCAGGCTAGGCCATTTGAGATGAGGGCTCTATCCTGCCTCTCTGGAGAGCTACCAATGTTCATTGTGGGTGGAAGAGCCAGGATGTCTGAGCTTTTCAATTCAATCATCGCTCTAGAACCCCATCATGGCACTTTTGCGGTACACGTGTCCTATGCACACTCCATCAGGAATCGGGAGTAAATTCAGCCTAAAAAAACTGGAACAAGATCTTGTTTTTACAACTAAATGGTGTGAACATACCTCCATGTCTTGGGGCAATCCTTGACTATAAATTACTGTGCAAGCAATAAGTTGGTTTACAAAAGAAGGAAATTAAGTAGATGTCATTTCTCAGGTCCAAAAATAACAAAAAGCAAAAAAAATGAAGAGTATTACTTGTGCCTAGAATCCAAGCTACTCAACAAGTTAGAGATCAAAGGATCACAGATCAAAATGAGCCTGAACAGGAAACTCATCTCCAGTGAACCAGAAGAAATCCGGAAGTGGAACTGTGGCTCAAAATGGTAAACCACTTGAGTGAGACAGCTTAGGAACAACACCCCAGCTCCAAGTTCAAGCCCAGAATTGATCAAGAAAAGAATAAATCATCCCTCAGGTTGGTGACTCACACCTGTTGATAAGACCTGAGGATCACAGTTCAAAGCCAGGCAACCCAAGAATGACAGATAGTTATCTCCAATTACCCAATGAAAAGTTGGAAGTAGAGTCTGTGGTCACCTGGTAGAGTGCCAGCCTTGAATGGAAAAAGCTGAGGGTGGACAGTGACCAAGCCATGCATTCAAGTCCCATTCCTGGCACACAGACATATACATAGAAGAAGCAAAAGAGAAACAGAAAGAAAAATAACCATCTCACTTTCTAAGAGACTGAGAATGTTTATTGACTGAATAAATAATGTATACATGGGTTCTGCTATGTGCACATGATTTACAATGAGCTAAACTTAAATAGCTTCTTGACATTGGAACATCAGTAAAATACTATTTCTCATTTTTAAAATCAGATGATGAGCAACATGTCAGCTGTATGCAGTGTAATGAACACCATGGGAACTCTCATAGTCCATGTGAAGGGCAATGCACACCCATCCTAAGTACCAGAAATAACCTAACACATGTAAGTAAAAATATCTAAAGCTGTTGATCACAGGAGACTCATGACTATAAACCTGATGTCTGCGGATTGAGCCTTGAAACCAGCCTCAGAATAAAATTC